TGCAATGCCCTCTGCCCCATGCCCTTGCCCCCCCGCCCGGGGGGCCAGCCACAGGCCTGCCTTGTGACTGGCGCTCTGTGGTGGGATGGTGCTGGGGGATGCTTCTTGAGCTGGCAGAGCCCAGCAAGGCAAACACTGGCTGAGCTGGTCTTCCACACGAAGCACGTACACAGCAGGAGCTGAAACAGGCACTTAACTCATTTTCAAAGCCAATGCAGCAATGCTGGAGAGTAGGTGGGAAGGCTGCCAAAGTGCTGGTTCAGAGGCAGTGTGAGCGGGTGTTCTGGAGCACAGATCACAGGTCCAACCATTTACAGTGCCTGGGAATCTCCTCTTCACAACACAGAAGTGAGCTTTAAAACTAGGATCCTGTGTGAAATGGGAGGGCACAAATGTTTCCACCATCAGGCGCCAGCTGAGCTGGTAGGTGCATTGAGCCTTGCCTCCTGGGATGCTCCTTGATCTGCTCCTGGTTTCCCTCTCCAGGCAGCATGGTGGCAGCCCCTCAGAGGCCAGACAGACCATTGCAGGGCAACAGGAGCTGGGTGCATATCCCCCAGTCACACAGTGATTTGGCAGCCAAATTTCTCACTGCCTTGGCCATGCCGGGAGTGGCCATGCTTGAGCTGTCTTTACTGACTGCCACAGGTACCTCAGATATCTTGAATCCACAGTGCAGACCCTGCCACTGGTCTGGGGATGCTCTGCGGTCCCTCGGGCTGCAGACCTCTTGCTGTTCCCTTTTCCCACCCTCCCCCTTCCCCAGAGTTCCCCCAGCCCACCCCTCTCCAGCCAAACTTGTGCTGCAGCTCTGCAAGGAGGGGTTTTGCAGAAATAATAAGGTTGCAGAGTTACAGCAGCACCATTGCAGGTCCCACCCACCTTCAGACCTCCCAGGAGTAGAAGGGGGTTTAGTTTAAGGTGAAACAGTTGCCACTTTTTCACACCTGCACTCACACCCCTGCTTGCAAGCACTGGGACCTGGGTGTCCCAAGTCGGGGGTGTGTGTCAACCAGGCATCAGGACACATGTACCAGGTCTGCCCAAAGCTCCCTGCAGTGACACAGAGGACGAGGGGTGCCGGCTATGGAGTCCTCCTCTGGTTTTGTCACCTTTGAGCTCCTCTGTTCCTCTGTCCTGCCTCATCTCTGTAAGTTATGAGGATTTACTTGTGCTCCTTGCTCTCCTTATCTGGGTGTCTCAGCTCCTGCCCTCTTCTTCATCTTCCCACGACCATCCCTTAATGGCCTGACCCTTTGTTTTGGCCTGGGTTTAGGCTGTCCCTTCTTTTAGGCTTATTTGCCCACAGATGGCCCTGAATGCAGCACTGCTTTTCAGTTAGCTGAACATAGGGCGGGTCAGTGTTCAAGGCTGCCTTTCCCTCCCTCCACAGCTAATGAAGTAGGAGAGACTGCCCTGGATGTTGCTAGGAGGATGAGACATCTGCTGTGTGAAGAGCTGGTAAGACATCATGTCTCATCACCCCTCCAATTTTGTGACATGTCCCAGTGGCAGAGAGCGGGGGGCAGGACACCCACACCCATGCGGATGCATTCTGCAGGGCCACCCACACCCCTCAGCATCTTCTGTGCCATTGTGGCATGCAGAAGAGAGTGTGAAGGGGTCTAGCAGGTGCTGACCCTGCTGGCATGGAGTCCCTCAGGGCAGAGTGATTCAGGACAGGACAGGCAGGGGTCACACCATGCCTGGGCAGAGGGACCTGGAGCTGTACTGTGGCTGTGTGGGGTGAGCCCATCTCCTCAATGAGTCCAAGTCTTGCTTCTCACATGTCCTGATTTGTGTATCTGGAGACCTTTGCAAAACCCCCTCGCTGCTGGGAAGCAGTGCTCGCAGCTTGCAGACGTTGCCCTGATGGGCGGGTGGTCAGAGATGGGGCCAGCAGCTGCCTGTGGGGCTGGTGGGGCAGGACAGGGCTGGTGGGTCCTCAGGGAGCTCTTCTGTGCCTTAGCTGCTGCAGGCCCAGAGCAATCAGTTCAACCCCAATGTCCACGTGGAGTATGAGTGGTGGCTGGGCCAAGATGACATGTATGAGAGTGATGAAGACCTGGATGAGAAGGTGAGGTCCTGACAGGCTCTGACTTGGGGCCATGTGTGCCACTGCTGCCCCTGGTCCCACTTCACTGGAGTGGGCGCTCCTGTACCTGTCCAGCCATACCTGCTCTGTCTAACCCACAAATATCCCTTTCCCAGCTGGGTCCTGTGAAGAGGGGGTCTGCCCGTCCCCAGAGCTGCTACCACCCCCCTGCCATGGCCCCCAGGACAGAGGGCCCAGCAGGAGCAGTGCCACGAGGGAGATGGCCAGACACCTGCCCCCCGCCAGCCGCCCACCTCTGCAGCATGGACGTGCCACCAGCCCCCTCCTATGCCCCTCCGTTCCTGCCCCAGTGGGAAAAGCCAGGTTAGAGCCTGTGGCAGTGTCCTGCAGGGTCTGGCAGGGTGAGCTGCTGCTGCTGCCTGGATCCATTGGCAGAGGGTGGTCTGGGAGGGAGCTGGGCCCCCACTGGGGTGTGAGGGGTTGTCTGGTGCCCTATGGCACCCTTCTGTCCTCTCCTCCTTGAGGGACCAAGGCTGGCTTGTGCTAGCTGGTCTGTCCTAGCGCTGATCCCTACTTTGAAGAGCAGTGCAGTGTATGCTCACCCTTGGAGCCTTTATGCTGGTGCCATTAGGATGTGCCACCCTCTCCCAAATGCTGCTGCTGTTGGGAGAGGCAAAGCAGCATGTCTTTAGAGACAGGGCTGGGAAGACAAAGCTGCCAACAGAAAAAGCAGCAGCATCGCAGTTCTGCTCCTTAGCAAGACCAGCTCCCACTGACCTTGTCCAGCCTTCTCACGGCGTCCAAGCTCCAAGAGTTGCCCTGCCTTCTGGGAGACTCACCAAGTCCTGCCTGACTTCCCCTCTGCTAGTCCCAGCTCTGCTTCCAACCTGATGCATTTCTCAAGTCAGACCTGAAAGCAGAGAAAAGAAAATCCCTGCGTGCATATTAGTGTCCATTCTCCCCTGGAGCTTTACCCCAGGAACCCTGCTCAGCGCCAGCCTGATCTGCTCTTGCTCTGTGTTTAGCTCCCCAGGGGGCATATCCACCCTTCCTTACCAGCTCGTCAGTCTCTGCTGAGGACACAAGAAGTAGGAGGAGCCCATCCTTGCCTCTGAGCATTAAACACAAGCGCACATCCTCGGAGCCGGTGCCTTGGGTACCACTCAGCCCCGAGCAGCCCAGCCCTACCAGCCTGGCTTCAGGTAACAAAAGGACAGGCTCAGGAGGGGTAACATTATTCTGGGGTTAGCTGGGCTGTTGGAGATGCTGAGTTCGGAGAAGGGAATGACCCCTTCCCTGTCTTTCAGGCAATGGGTTTGTTTCCATGGGTGCCCTGTGGTAGAAAGAAGCCCCCCTCTCTGCACCCAGGCAGGGTGGCAGGCTGGGGGCTAAGGCAGTAGCTTGCACAACACAACCCTTTCACAAAGGGGTGAGCACTTGCTAGGAGCAGCCCCGGGTGCTCCAGGATGGAGGTCTGGCCAGCTGGAGCCTCCAGGTGCCTCTAGGAAACAGCCTCATCCCAGCAGAACTCATCAGCATGGGGAGCACTGGGGGGACAGAGGGTGCCGAGCGCATGACCCATGGCAGCTGCATCCTTCCCCAGGTGCTAGCAGCTCTTGGGGCACCTTGGAGCTGCACAGCCCATCTCCCACCTCCTGGTGACATGCTTCTTACCCCAGCCCCCACTCTGCTTCCTGGCCATGTCCCTTCTCCTGCTGATCCTCTCCACCCTGTCCCCCAGCCCCGCCCCCTTCCTTCCAGCTCCCGGACTGATGGGGTGCTTGTTGCCTATGCTGTACCATGGAGGAGGACCACGCTGCACTGTGTTGCCTGACAGTGGTGTTGTCCACCTGTGATGAAAGATAGGAGATGACCAGCCTGATTGTGTCATAGGTACCCTGAAAACCATGGACCACTTCTGCATGCCTGGCCCTGGCAAAGTGGGACAACCTGGCCCATGCAGATCCCTCCAGGAGTCAGATCCATGTTCTGGCCATGCACAGGATGTCCCTCCTCTTCTTCCTCGTAGGAGCAGTTTGGTAGGTGGCCAGTGGCCAGGATCAGCTCAGCTCTCATATCTGTCTATATTTACCACTTTTTTTTTTTTTTGAACTGAGCTGGAGTTGGCCCCAGTAACTTCTCCTCCCAGCTGTGACCCCCTGGCATTGACATCTCCGTGCTAGGTGCTGGGAATGCTACCAAAATCCCCATAAGGCCCCACTGCCCCCCTCAAAAGAGGGAAGCATTGTATATGATTTCGGGTTGTTGGCAGGTCAGGGTGCAATTCAGACACTGAAAAGGGGGCACACTGGTCCTGCCTCTCTGTGCTCCAGGGGACACCCTTCTCCCTGAGGCCACTGTGCAGAGGCAGAGCCTTTTCATTAGGGGGACCTTGCTTGGATTACTTGGTCTTGGGTTGTGCTGAGCAGCACTGATGACTCCTTGCACAGAGCTGCCCTGAGAGAACTGGGACCCTAAACAGTGCAACTGCATGTGCTGCAGTCCTGGGGCAGAGGAGCATCCTCTGGCAGGATGCTCTAGCAGAGGAGACGTCTTCTGGATATCTGTCCCACCCAAACTCCCAGCAGGTGACCAGCCGCCTCTGCCCTCACTCTGCACAGGAAACCTCCCAGTCTCTCATCCTTGCTCCTCAGATCTTTGCCAGGGGCTTTGGGATCAAGACAGTTAGAGCTATTCTAGTTTGTGCCTGATGAAGCTGAGGAGGCCTGATGATGCTCTCTCCTGCTTGCAGAACAGATTGCTGATCCGCAGGGTCCGTGCTCTCTATGACTGCAATGCTGACCGGGAAGATGAGCTGACTTTCCGCACAGGCGAGATCATTGTGGTGTGTGAAAAGGAGGACAGCAATTGGTGGGTGAGCGAACCTGTGTATGCTGACCAGTACTAGGATGCACACGATCCCCTCTCCATCCATCTCTTGCCTCTGTCACACCCATTGTCATCTCCTGCTCTGCATCTGCCTCTCCATCTTCCATCTTTTCCTTGGTAACGGAAGGCAGCTGTCATGGGGCCAGTTCCTCATCCCCCTGAAGGCCTCTGTGCCATGCTCACTGCTCCCTTTCCTTCCTTTCTCCCCACAGAAAGGGTGGATTGAAGGACAGCCTCACAGGCAAGGTGTTTTCCCTGCTTCATTTGTTCATGTGCTCAATGAATAGGAGCTGCTTCAATTCAAGAAGGAAGATCTCATCAGCTGCTTAAAATGCAATTCCCCAAGTTCCTGTCTGCACCAAGGGCCCCAAGGATGAGGAGGCGGGGAGTACCAGCTCACCCTGTGCTGCCTCCCTCACTTCTCCTGCCCCAGTATCCCTATACCCCCATCCCACTCCTCCTTCCCACTGCTCCACTGCCAGCAGTGCCAGGCTGTCCCAGAGAATCTCTTGGCCAGTCAAAGGGAAAGAACACAGCAACCTACATGCTCCACATATGTGCTCCTGCTCTAACCACATCCCCACTCAAGAAACTGCCCTGGGGCACTTCGCTGCCAAATGTCCAGTTCCTGCCTTGCTCTGACCATGCTGCCTGTCCCATGGTGCTTCCTGCTCTGCTAGTGCTGATGGAAACGATGGTAGAACGGAACAGCATTGTGGCCTGCAGGGCTTTGGAGCAGCAAGTGGAGCCTGCTGGCATGCAAATCCCTGGGAAAGGGGCTTTTGCTGAGGGCTGAGCATGCTGGGAGCTTGGAAATCCAAACAAGTGCTGTGAAGCCAGCACCACTTCTAGCCCTTGCCATCCCTAATTCTTTCCACCCAGGTTTCACTGTTTCAGCTCCAGAAAATGTGCTCTGTGGCAGTTCAGGGCATTGCTCCTTTTGTGCCTGGCAAAAGGAGCGGCCCTATCAGCCTGTCACCAATAAATACCAGTTCTTCAGTGCTCTGTAGTTCATGGGCCCGTTCTAGTTTGAGTTTCTAGATCCTTCCTCTTCACCGCCGTCCCCCTGGCACCAAAATTCCTCGCAGGCATTGGAAGAGGGCTGACTTTTGCTTGGATAAAATTACTTGCAATTCATTTTGCACAGCTTTTCTCCACAGTTGCTGAGGCACATTTCACAGCTGCCTTCTTCCCTCTCTGAGCCAAAAGCCCATCTGTGTGAGCAAAAGAAACCAGCTGGTGAGGTGCTGGATGCACAAGGCTGTTGAGACCTCTGTGTTGCTGGTGTCAGTGTAGGCAGAAGCTGAGCCATCCCAGCAGGACCTGTAGGGGCAGGAGGGCAGTTCCATTCCAGGCAGCTTCTCCCATCCTCAGAGGGACATTTTAATGATGAATTTCCTGATTCAGCCCTGGGAATACAGCCAGGGCATCCGTCTCCAGCAGAACCGGTGGCCACCATGGTACTGGGCTGTGTCGGAGGGCTGCACTGGGATGCCAGGGTGGTGGGCAGTGCTGGAGGTGGGATGGCAGCCCTGACCTCACTGTGCCGCTCACCGCAAGGCTCTGTTCTCCCCCATGTCATGGTGCAACACTTCCTCTTCCTGTGAAAGTTGTTGCAGCTTACAACGAGCGCTGGCAAAGCCACTGAGCCCAGGAGTGTCACCTTCGCCGGGCCCTGCTCAGCGGTGCTTCCGAGGAGGAGGTGAGGGGTCCCAGGGGTAGCTGGCTGGGGACCAGGGGGACATGACACTTTGAGGGCCTGGCTGTGGGGCCACAGAGCTCCTGACGGTGTCCCTTGGGGCTGAGCGGGGATGGGGCCAGGTTTGTGGCCACTGGGTGCAGCCCAATGCAGTGGCAGCATGGCTGCAGCATGGTGGCTTGTGGACGATAGCGCTGGGCTGGGAACCCCAAGGTGAGGGCACCTCTGGGTGTGGGGCCAGGGGGGCCGTTTCAGCCAGTTCCTGTCTGTGGAGCCAGGGCTGCACAAGCGCACAGGCAGGGAGACGGGCCTGCTCAGCCCTGCCTGTTCAGGGCCCTTCCCTCCCCAGCAACAGACAACTGCAAAAAGCTTCATGAAATATTCACTGCATTGCCTGAGCCCCCTGGCTCTGGGCTTACTGGAGCTGCTGGTGCTGGCCA